CCCCAAACCCCCAAAACCCCAAAACCCCAAAACCCCAAAAGATCAATGTTAATTAGGTAAAAATGATAGATAAGTTTATAATAAACGTGAAAAATATATAAATGAACAAAAACACTAATGGAAGCGGGCATATACAACCTAGACAAAATTTTTTCCAAAAAAGACCCCATCCAGATTCTAAATCCTTGAGTCCTAGCCATGAGCAATTCAATTCTCTTGTCTGAGATCAGATCAATACTAGAAACTAGATAATTTAACAGGTCAATTAATCTGGATCGTAGGACCGAGTAGAGTCAAGAAAGGGTTCCAGATAACGAAGTTAACAATAGGAAGAAATAAAAATCAGGATAAGGGAGACTCCTAGCAAAAATAATCATGGTCAAAGAGTTTTCAAAATTTAAACAAACACAATATCCAAAAATAGTACTTAGAAATAATTCAACTGTAAGTGCACATAGAATTTGAGAGCATAGTTATTAAAATATCCAAACTCCTCCATTCTCATTTATTCAATGATTCTTATTAAAATTTTTTAGAAAATAATAATTAAGATGAGTTTTCACCAGTAGTTGTAGTTGCATAGAAAATTGTGACCAAACCAATGTATTAACATTATAATAGCACTTTTAAGTAACATTTTCTTAATTTTAAATTATCATCTTGAATTTAGAAATCTCAACTCTCCGAGTGATAATACTTTTTCAAATGTTTTGAATTAGCAAGAAAACTAAATATTAGGGTCTAAGTCATAAAAGAAAATTGTATTTCGAGAAGGGGACCATGATTTAAGAAAATCAAGAAGTGAATAATATCTTTAGAACATGAAGAAGAGCGACTAGCAATAAACAACATAGCCTTAAACATAGACTATAATTTTTTCAAACTATACTAACAATATCCGGCCTTAGATTTAGCCAGGTACCTACCCTGAGATAGACTGCGTAACTGACACTGGGTCAATATTTGATAAAGACATCTTGCCTATAAATAAAAATTTAACTATTTAGCAAGAGCCTAGAAGCAATTAAATAATTGGTAGTTCCACTATAAACCACTAAAATGGTTTTTCTTAAAAAAAGAAAAAGGTAAATAAAAGAATAATGGTTAATGGAGAAAATGACTAGATAAGAATAAGCAGTAGAATATTGCCATAAGTTAGAGCTTAAACTTTATCTCCTGAAAATGGTGGGGCTTCTTTAATAAATTATTACAATAAGTCATAGCCAGTAGAAACTAATTCGTTGAAACAACTCAAGAGTAGTTTTAGATAAAATTAAAGTAATAATTCTACAATCAAGTTTAACAAAGTTCAATCATTAAAAGAATTGAACACATAGAATAACTTGAATTCTCAAATTAATGTAAGGGCTAGTCTTAAGCAACTTATTTAGTCTAACTAGTAAACTTAGGCTTAACTCTCTGAAATAGCTAATAGTTTCAAAGCTGGATAAAAGCAATAATTGATTTAGACTTAAAAACGTCAGAAAAATAGATTTATTTAAAAGATCAGCTCATAAAAGGAACTAAGCAATCCATAAAACTATAAAATTGTAACAATTCCAGTTAAATCTGAAATAAAATAATAATAGGAAAAGATTAGTATTGTAGAAACTGTAGTTGTTAATTAGCCGAATACAATTGGAATATAAAATCATACTGAATCAATGAAATCATCTGGAGTCAGTCAAGTTTAATCTTCATCTAGGTCTATTGTTCCTAAACTAAACCTAGAAAAGGTAATGCAGCTCAAAAAAATATTTAGTCCTGATATATAAGCTGCTAAGGTAGGGGGTAATGGCAAATAAGGTTTCTCAGAAAAGATTGAAGAACTTAAATAAGAAGAAGACTTTATTACTTAATAAGATATTATGCTAGCTAATGAAGAGATCTAAAAGCTAAAGAATGAGATTAGCTAAAAGAATCTGATTTTAAGTTAACTACTTGCAGACAGTTCAGAGAATTAGAAATACAAGAAAGTTGTACAGAGTAGTAGCCCACCAAAATTTAGACTAAATGCTTAAGCTTAATTACCAGTGAAAATAAAGCAATTTAATCAAAATAATTTCAATGCAATTAGATAAGAAATCAGCCCAGAAGAGATGAGAGATGGAACTGCTTTTAGTAAAAACAAGAATAATAAAACTATGAAAAGTGGGGTATAAAAGCAGTAGAAGTTAATAAACTAGAAAAGAATTTAAGGAAGGAATGGTGGTATCCTTTAATCTTAAAAATATGATAACAACTCTGATGAAAGTAGCAAAAGTTTAGCATACAGAGGGGTAACCGAGAGGATAGATTCAAAGGGAAATGTTGAACGATAAAAAAAATTAATTGAGTATAGCCCTGAGATTAAGAATAATTTCTTTGAAGAATCATTCTACAAAGAAAAGATGAAATCAAGACAGAAGCCATAAAATTTGAAACTTATCAATAATAATCATAGAAGAAATGATTCAAAAAACTTAGGCAAGCAGTAATCGAATCTTATATAAGAACCTACAAACATAAAGAACAAGAGAAATTCAATCTTTAGTAAAAATGAAGAATTAAGATAAGATTGGGAGAGAAAAAATATGCTGTAAAAGCAGGAGCAAATTAAGAATACTCTTGAGCTCATTTAAGGCAATCTTAATATGATAAAAGGATTCAAAGGAAGTGAAAGCAGATCAAACTCAAGAAAACCTAGATAATTGGAGCCATTAAATATAAATCAAAATAATAATATTCAAATTCAATTAAATCTGAATTTCCCTAAGATATAGATTCCAACTAATTTAGATCCGTAAAGAAGAGCCTTCAAGAATTCCAAAAGTCCTCCAATTGTTCTTAGGAGAGATTAAATTAAAATATTCAAAAATCCTGTTGATCCAAATATCATAATTCAAAAAATTAATGCTTAAGAAGCTGTATAGAATAAGGAGCTAATTGAATGTCTACAAAAGGATTTTGAAGGTATAGAAAGTAGAATCAGAGAATCCCTATACTCATTAGATTCGTTGAGAGCTTAGCCAAATGAAGAAAAATCTTCTGGAAGGACACCGAATGATATAAATTAGAAGGCTATGAAAATGAGCTAGGTCTCTTCAGCATTTCCAGATATAAATACTAAATCAATACATACCTAAAGTTCCCATAGACAAAAAGATTATCATAATCCAGTTTATGAAATATTGCCAAATCATCACTTCGACGAGAAAATAAATATTTATAACAGTTCCCTCAACTCAAATCCCAAGAAAAGCAAAATATCTTAAAACACTGCTTAAAATTTCAATAGGAATGTGGGATCTAGAAGCATGCCTGAGATTACTCCAAGAGATATTCAATTCAGAAGAGACAAAGGTTACAAGCCTAGCTTTAACAGGCAGCACAAGTTCGATGAGAAAAAGATAATTGTGAATCCAGAACTAAGAGATATGGAATAAAAAGATCGGGAGATAAACTAGCCTATCTAACTTAAAAAGATACTCAATCACGGAAAAATCTCAGATAGGGTAAAGAACAGAAACATCAATCCAAATGAGAGAGACGAAGAGATTTGCAATTTTGAAATGATGGACAATCCTCCTCCGATCAATTTATTTGAAAGGGTGTTCAGAGATTCTATTCCAATTATGATAGTTGATGATAAAACAGATGAAAGCTTTAAATCATCGAACCCCTCTAAAACTAATTCAAGACTTTCTAGATATAACAACCCAAAACATTTATGACCTAACTATTAAAGAAATCATAGCTATCTTTAATTGGAACTTTGTGACCAGAGTTTTAAACTCCAATCCAAACTCTAACTAATGAAACTTATTTATTTATGATGAGCTAACTAATTAATATATGTAAGGAACTTAACATTAATTCTAAAAATTATTGTATAAAATATTTTTAAATCACTTCTTCTTGACTCCAGCAGCAACTAGCTTTTCTTCAAGTAATCTTTGCTTCTCATCCATAGTTTTATTTAGCATACTATCAAGGCCAGATAATTTCTCGTGAATTATCAATTTAGATTCCTTATGAATATTTGCATGCTTAAGTTTTTCATCGAGGCCTCTAAGTTCCTCATCACTTTCATCGTCTCTTTCAGCTTCTAGAGCCTATCTGACTTTTCTCTCCTCTTCTTCTCTCTTTTACTAAGCAAGTTCTTGCTTTTTTCTGATGATTTCTAATCTTAGTTCTTCATCCTCATCTTCGTATACTAGCATCTCTTCAGATCCTAGAAGTAAAGCATCATTGAGGTTTGAGGCAATGATTGGATTATTAATTTGAATGTTAAGTCTTTTAACCTCACACAGTTATTTATTATTAAGTACGTAGTCATACAGTCTTAAATGCTTGAAATAAGAATCCTTAGCATAGTCTGCAATCCTCTTAACTTCCTCTGGAGCAAACTTAAGTTAAGATTCAGGTTCATTTATCATCTCAAGACAAAGAGATTTAAATAGGTTAAATTTATGCTTCAGTAAATCAGCGAATTTCTCCTCTGAATTCTAATCTTATTATTCATCCTAATGCTGGCTTTGCTGTGAATTCATTCTTGAAGCTCTTAAGTCACCTACTACAGATTATCTCTCGTCCCCCTCTGGGTTGGGGTTATTGGCATCTGGATTGAACTCCAAAAGCCTCCAGAATTTCTCCAATAATATAGCACATTTGTAATTGCTAAGAAGCAATTCATTCTTAGCGAATATCAAATTATAGAGTTGATACTCAGAGAAAATGTTGATCTCATTATATTCAACCTTCTCTTGTTCTATAGAGCTCTTTGGCTTAAAGAATTCCTGGAAAATGGCAATGAAATCTTCCTTCATGTGAGAGGAATCCCAGATCTTAGCGACATGCATCGGTTTCAAGATGAAAGTTTCAAATCTAGCAAGTATAATTAGTTCTAGTTCGTTTTGTCCAGTGGGAATATCTCCATTTTAAGATTGTGATGCTACAGATCCTTTTTTAGCCTGCACTGGAGGATTAGATAATCTAGAGTCTGGATTTAAAACTTGGGGAATAACTGAACCAGTCTTTCCTACGTTAGGAGGCTAAAGAGCTGCCTTAGCTGGTGGAGCCTTACTCATTTTAAAATAATTAAAATTATAATTGTGATTAAAGGAATATTTGCAAGAGATTTATTAATATTAATTAATCAGGAAATATGGACACTAAAGGTATTGTTTAAGTTATTAAAGAAATATCATAGGTGGCGGTTTGACTCACTACGAGTTGGGAAACATGAAGTACATGAGATTGGTGTATGGCGAGGGTCTTAGAGTGCCAAAGATGCAAAACAGAGCCTGGGACAGAGAGTACTACTTCTACCAGAAGAAGGGTTACGTGAGAGGGTACATCTGGCACCATAGATCCAACGCCACCCAGCAGTGGCTCTTCCACTTCCTCTACGGCGGCGCCAACAAGTTCTTCGTCCAGAGATTCGTCGTTGACTTCGGCGTGAGAATCTGGGCCAGAATCGCTCTCCTCCCCTTCACCATCCACATGATTGGGTCCTTCGTCGGCCAGAGAGAGTACGACAACAACGCCTACGACTATTTCTACTTCTCTGATTGAGATTAGTCCTTATTGGTGATGTTTCTCTTACCATCTTAACAAGATAATTATTTAAATAACCCTTAATCCAAGTTTCTTTACTTCTTCTATCTTATTTAAGAAAGTAATTCATAATAACTATAAATCATGTATTTCCATTATTTTGATATAAAACTGCAATTCTCTAAATAATAAAACAAATTGGAATTCTTGGGGTTTTGGGGTTTTGGGG